AGATGCTCCGCAGTGCAAGATCTACTCGACGATCGTAGTTTTTATGAAGGAAAATTTTATTTGATTCAATATTTTATGTATTTGTTAACGTCGAATCTCTATTGTAGATGTCGTATAACTTTTAATTAATGAAATATTTTTGCTATTCAAAAAAAAAAAACTGAACATGTGCTCACTTTTTATAAGCTTTCACAAGCATTGTAAAATGTCCAAATTTTGAAAATTTAGATATTTGTACCTTTTTTTATAAATCGAAGATTTTGTATGAGATTTTTGGGAGGTTTTGATATATCATATATGTGTATTTGAATACTTCGAATATATATTTATACAATATTATCTTTTTAGGAAATTAACAAAATCATCAATATTTATTACTCCCTCCGTTTCACTTTGTTAGTCCCCTTTGGAATCAATCACTTAAAATAAGAAAAGAAGGAATCTTAGTAATTTGGAATTTGATTGCAATTTTGTAATTAATGTTTTGTTTTTTCTTGTTTTATTTATGGTTGTAGGCTATAATTAATCGCCTATAATAAATTTTGATTGAAAAATTTGTCATGTCAGCAATCCACTAGCACATACATTAACCAATCAAAATTATTTGATTCTTTAAACACCCAATTAGATTAATTATTCACGGATTATGAAAATTATTCACCTTATAATAATGTTAGGAAATATTCAATATAGTTGCAACTATTTCCGGTCCAATTACTTGCAACTTTATTGGTTGCAACTTAATTGGACCGGAGGTAGTATTTTATTTATAACTTGATTTTTTTGGAATTAATTGGTTGTGGATTGATGACATGACTCCAAGTAAGGAAATTTTACCTTAAATTATGCAATTATGACTTGTGCTTTCCTAATAAATAATAAAAAAAAGTTAAATATGGTATATTAATTATGAATTATGTTGTAGTTTTTTTTTTTTTTTTTGAGGAAATTATGTTGTAGTTTAATGTTAGATTCCAAATATATTTCTTTTCTTATTTTATGTGATTGATTTCATATGGGATTAACATTATGAAACGGAGAGAGTATATATTAAAGTAATCAGTAGGAATATTCTAGAATTACACGTGTCACGTTTACATTAAAAAAATTTCCCGCCAATTTTTTTTTTAATTGATGAAAAAAACTTTTTTTTAAAAAAAAATATACAGCCTAAATAATAGAACAATAACAACAAATTTAAATAAATAAAATATTCAAAATATATCAATCTATAAACAAATACAAACTTATAATAATATATAAATATAATTTTTTTCCTGTGAATATCCGAGCATTGCTCGGACAAAGAACTAGTTTATAATATATTAAGTAAATCAAAATTAGATGTGATAGGAAGATTTATTCAACAAAATGATAGCTAGGAAGATTTATCAATTAATGTGGAAAATTTTAGTAAATACCAAATATAGTCTCTTTAGACTCTTTACTCACAGTACGAGATTACTTTTTATTTCTTCAATTTTCTCTTTACTTTTTTTTTGTTCTTAAACATAACTCTATTATTCAAGCCAAGTGTAAATATAATAGTGTCAACATGAAATACAATGTCAAAATTAATTAAATAACAGATTAGTTTAAAATTTATGTACTCCCTCCGTGCTTTTTTAAGTGTTACACTTTTCATCTCCGGCTGTGTTTTTTTTAAGTGTTACACTTTCTTTTTTGGCAAAAATCTACATTAAAATATTATATCTCTCTCCTCTCATGGTCCCCACCCAAACCCACAACTACTTTTTTATTATATCTTTCCTCTAACATTCATTACTTTTCAATAAACTATTAACCTCACTATCTTTCTTTTACAATTTTTAAATACTCCAACTACCCCACTTACTTCTTATTTTATTTAAGTCAATTAAATTGCCTAAAACTATGTGCCGGTCAAACTATAACACTTAAAAAAACGAAGGGAGTAACTTAATTGTATTGATTTTTCTCCCATTTTCTTGATATTTATACAATTGTATTACTTGAAATTTATACAAGATTAATTTAAAAATTATTGCATACTATTAAGATGTATGGAACTATTGGAGAGAGATTATATTTTTTTTTTAGTAACCCTAGACCGACTAGTTTTTTCAAACAACCTATGTTGTTTTGAAAATTCTAGGCGGATTACCCTAGGGTGGTTGAAATTTATAGGCGGCTAGTATTTTTTTTAATTAACGTGCATCATTATTTATTATTATTATTATTATTATTATTATCATTTCAAAAATTATTATTATTATTATTATTATTATAAAATTAACAAAAAAACCTACTAAGTTAATCAATTTACAAGAAATTGGTGGGAAGCCAAGATACAATCTAGGCTCTTACCCCTCTAGCTATAGCGAACCCGATCCTGTTGAAGATGTGAGCAGCTGCACGAACACCAATATCCTGAGTCTTAGCGAACGCATGATGCCGTTTCAGCAACGTAATAGCATCCTTCTCTAATTCCCCTAACGAAGAAAAGAAGAAAGGAAGAAAACCATAGCCAATAGCCCTGCAACGTGCCCCATACTTGTCCTGCTTCCGTTGAGCCGTCGTCGACACAACACGACCTGGAATGTAGTCAGATAACCCCGATTGTGTCAAATAACTATAAGTTTGTATTTGTTTATATGTTTTGTATAAATTCAATTATTCAAATATCTATTTATTTTATCAGATTATTATTGACGAGACATGTTAGGGCCTGTTTATATTTACTGAATTGAGCTGAACTGAAATGAACTGATTGGATCTGGACTGAACTGAATACTTTATGAGAAAGGGAAATTATGAGCTGAACTGAACTGATTGGAGCTGAACTGAACTGAACTGATTAGAGCTGAACTGAATTGAACAGAACTAAAATTAAGTAAATGTAAACAAGCTCTTAATATAGATTATCTCTATTTTGTTGATTGTTGTCAAATTATAAATTAAAATTTAAAATTCCTTATTTAGTAGGAAACTAGATTAGACCCTTGCGATCATAAAAACATATCTTCATCATAAATTACTAAGGAACAAAATATAAAAATGAAAGCCAATCTGATCTAATTAAACTATATGCATACTTATAAATTAGTTCATTTTTGTATAACTGTAACAGTAAAACCTTAAAAAAAAAATTAAAACAAACGTCGTAGCTTAGTTACTTAAAATATTTTAGCTCAATATCAATTTATTTATTCCAACAAAAAAAAAAAACTATTTATTCATTAATGACACAGTAAAAAGATTGAAATAAAAATGATTAAAATAACCAATTCCTAAAAAAAAAAACCAAAAATAAATATGACATCATAAGTGCATTAGGCGGGAATTTTATTTATGAAAGAGCGACACGTATATAGTTTGAGAAGAGGATGATGTCAACAATTTTTTATTTTAGTAATAGTCAATAGATAAACAACTCATTTTATAGATTAACAAATGAAGATTCAAGGGATTATAGAAGATTTTATAATCTTGATATAATTAAACTTTTTTAGTTTGGCGATTTTCTATTTGCAATAAAAAATTTCAGTTGAATTGATATAGAAATTTGAAGGGTAAAAATCACTAATTTATTATGAGTCTACGTTGTTCATTATTTTTAATTAGTTATCTAACTTTTTATTTATTTATAAAGCAAAGAAAAAATGTTTTATTTATTTAAAGTTGTTGTTAATGTTCGATATTTTGGGGTTGTTTAGGCCGTTGATTTTTATTTAAAAAATTAAAAAAAATTCAACTTAAGGAAAAAAACAAAAGGAAAAAATAAACGCGACAGGTGTACTTTTGCAATAATTTGTAAATACTCCCTCCATCTCATAATATAATTCTTGTTTTCCTATTTTAGAGATCCAAAATATTGTTCCTGTTTTCATTTTTGGATAGTATGTAAATTTTTGTTCCTATGTAAACTCTATTATAACCTCACCTTTTTTTTTTTTTTAAACTTTATTCATTGTATTTCCTAATTTATCCTTGAATTTTGCACATGCTTTATATGGAGTATTATTTTTCACTTTGTCACTTTTATTAATGTAATGCAATCACTTTCTCCTTCTGTTTCTTAATTGTCGTGAAAAAATACAAACAACAATTATATTATGGGACGAAGAGGTCATATTTTATTGGGGGTGTTATATACCACCATCCAAAATGATCAAAACCGCCAACATTTAGTATGAATTGACAACCATACCGTTAGTACTTCATGACTATCTTCCCTCTTGCCACCAATCACTAACACCTTGACACCACCACCCCAATTGATGACTAACACCACCACCACACTGACCGGCGACGACAACCACCACCACAACCACCCTGACCGGCGACCTACCACATCCCCCTCAAAGATAACCCATCACCTTCCCTCTTTGGCGGAAAGGTGGTGGTTTTTTTTTTTGACAACCGTATCAACCGGAGCTCAAAACCGGTTACCGAGCACGATAACCGGTTTTGGGCTCCGGTTACCATGGAATCGATTAAGGTGCACGGTAACCGGAGCCCAAAACCGGTTACCGTGCGCGATAACCGAAACCCAAAATCGGTTACCATGCACGATAACCGGAACCCAAAACCGGTTACCATGCACGATAACCGGTTTTGGGCTTCGGTTACCGCGGTTGTCTTATATATATATATATATATATATATATAATATATATATATATATATATATATAATATATATATATATATATATATATATATACCTTCCCGCCGGCGAGGGAAGGTGGTGGGTCGTCATAGAGGAGGGTATGGCGGGTCGCCGATCAGGGTGGTGGTGGTCATCGCCGATCAGAAGGAGTTGTGGGTCGCCGAGAGGATAAGGGGTGGTGAAGTAATAAGGGTACGATTGTCCATTCACACTGAATGTTGGCGGTGATGATCATTTTTGTTGGCGGTGTTTAGCGTTAGAAATTATATTTTGTGGGCGTTATCCGAAAATTCGAGGGCGGTATTTAACAACTCGAAGTGAGTAGTGAGAGGTTAAAGATAGATTATAGATGTTGAAATGTTGACGGTTATTACCAGCTTGTCCTCAGCATCAATAACAGCATTTTCCTTGTTTAGCAAATCCAATTTCACCACCAGTCAACCCAGATATCACGTGCCTCATTCTCCGACGAGTCAACCATGGCCGCTAACTCAGCCCGAGTTGCCGTCGCCCAGATCACTTCTGTCAACGATCTCTCCGCCAATTTTGCCACCTGTTCTCGTCTTGTCAAGGTACAATTTTTTTTTTATTCCTGATTTTCCTTAAAAATTGGCTTAATCCTTTAATTGGTTAATTCCAATAATCATTGGAAAAATTACATTAATTTAATCAAATATATGATAAATTTAGGCAAATCGAGTTTGAGTTGATGAATTTATATAATATACTTCTAATTTTCTTTTAGTCAATTTAATTTGATTGTATTCTGCTGTTTAAGAAATGGGCACCATTCTGCTGTAATTTGAACCTTCGGTTCTTAAAAATTTAATTTGAACGAAATTCTTCTAAACCCTCCGTTTCTTTTAAAACATAACTTAACTTATTTTATGATGATAAATTATTATTTTAGCATAGAAAAGTATGATTTTAAAGAGTTACGTAAAGTAGCAATCAGCTTGCTTGAACGCCTTAATCCCATAAATGGGGTCGGCAACATGAACCAACATAAACACTTTGGGGAGGTAACCCATCCTACTACTACTCTCAATCATTGAGGCTCGTGTCATGTGATGTGACAAAGTTTTACACTAGCTGTCATTAGCCTATGGTAACCATCCTTCTTTTTCCAGGCTTGGGGCTGTCAGCGGGAAACCCACAGGCAGAGTTAAAGTAGCAATCAGCTGCTGGCAGAAAATTACCTGTGGTGTAAATGTTAGGAGCTTACCAATCAAAAGTCTTGTCAATTCTGTTTTAGCACTATATAGGGCTTTTAGTTGGTGTAGGTCAATGCATGGTTAATTGGTTATTCAATTGTCTATTAGGAATTTAGAACCTTGTGATAATTACTACTTTGATATATTGAATTTAGGCCTTGACTCTAGCATCTTCTTGGTCTAATTTTGTAATTTTTCTGTTTTCTCCCAAATTCTGTTATATGTTTGAGTTTATAATCTTACTAATGCTAAATGGAGCTCAAATTTACTATCACAGGAAGCAGCAGCTGCTGGGGCCAAATTGCTTTGCTTTCCAGAGAGTTTCTCATATGTAGGTGCTAATCTTGGGGACAGCGTTAAGATTGCAGAACCATTGGATGGACCAATAATGCAAGGATACTGCAGTCTTGCCAGGTGAGGTACTGTCTTGCACGGTATTTCGAGTTTATTAGTTTTAGGCCTATCTATCATTGATTAGATGAATAATGCTTTTAGCAATTTAGCTTGTATAAACATATCTTCCTTCCCTTTGGTCTATAACTTTAGCCTTGTGATACTTTCACCAAGTAATTTTTTCCCTATGCTTTATTTTCAAATCAATTTGTGGGTTCTTGGAAAGTGTTACAGTTCAAGTCATGTGCATCTATGGATATTTTTTGAGTCAAGTCATTTTCTCAAGGTGATGACGTTTCCGGCTTCTTGCTTCCTTTGACTGTTTTCATTGGCATGGGTTGCAGAGAGTCTCAGATATGGTTGTCTCTCGGAGGTTTTCAGGAAAAGGCATCTGACGATTCTCATTTGCGTAATACACATGTGATAGTTGATGATACTGGAAAAATTAGAAGCAAATATTCCAAAATACACTTGTATGTTTTACTGCTTCCTTTCAACTGGTTAATTTTTTTCTTTTTTATCAAGCACTACTGTAACATTTCCAACTAGAAAGAACATTCTGAGAGTGAGGGAGTGTCATCCTGCAGTGTTTAAGTTCTTAACTTGCAAATTTCACTCATGAGTGGGTACTTCAGTAAAAAGGACTTTTTGAGGTGAATGTATGTGCCAGGGACCTGAAAAAACTGTGCATAACTTACTTTTATACTAGATGAGCTTACAAAATTGTCAGACATTCAAAAGATGGCTTTTTATACCTTTTTTTTGTCTTCCTTTAGCTTATTATTTCTCTAATTAGGATCCTGAATCCTGATTAATGTGATTGCATGCCCTCAAAAGGTCAAAATAGCCAATGAAGTTTGGGGAGGAGGTTGAGCAGTTAAAAGGTAACTAATTGAGATCCTTGTCTTATTTACTGTTTTGAAGGTTTGATGTGGATGTCCCTGGCGGAATGGCTTATAAGGAAAGCAGCTTTACTGAAGCAGGTTAGCAACTTGTATTCTAGGCAGTCGGATAGAGGCAAAAGCCATCTGTGCCATCAAGTTTTGTCATTTTTCCTGGAAATGCCATTTAACTTATTAATGTTTTCATTAATCCCAATTTTGTTTACCAAAATGATGTAAAATTGCCACTCTAAATCATACTTCCTCCGTTCTTTTATTATTGCACCATAAGGGTTTGACACAAATTTTTTGGTAGTGGAAAAAAGGATGAGAGAGAAAGGTAGAAATACCAAGTTGCCCATGTGATTGTATGCACAAAATAAAAGTAAGGGTTGAAAAACAAGGGTATATTAGGTATTTATAGTGTGAACACATAAATTTCTTTTCCTAAAATGGATATGGTGCAATAAATGTGAAACTTCCTTAAAAGGTAAGTGGTGCGATATTAAAAAAACGGAGGAAGTATAAAATTTGCAGTTACAGGTAATACCTATTGCTATTCTTGTGCTATTTTGTAAATAAGTGTTATTTGGCTGATATAACAGCAATGGTTTAATAAGAAAAACACTTGACATTAGTCTAGTGGATTTTTTAGGATTAGTGACTACACACCCCTTGTACAAATAGATTTTGCTCTTCTTTGGTCTTATAACGTTGCCCTTTTCTTTATTTTGTGTAAATTGAATTGGCAGTTTCCTTTCTTCGTCTCCTAGGATATCTACAGAATACAGATTATGCTCTTTTGGTGATGTACTCAATTTTCAGGCAAGGATGTTGTGGCAGTGGATAGTCCCTGTGGACGCTTGGCCTCACTGTTTGCTATGATTTACGATTTCCAGAAATATACGAGTGCTTACGGTTTCAGCATCAAGCTCAAGTAGGAGCAATATTGCACCTCTGTTGCTGTGAGTTTCAAGTTGGTACAACTACTATGCTACCTACTTACTTCTTGTTTAATATTCAGGTTCTATTGGTACCTTCAGCGTTCACAAAGATAACTGGTCAAGCCCACTGGGAGATACTTCTGCGTGCTCGTGCCATTGAAAGTCAATGCTATGTAAGGGCTTGAATTCCCCTCCCCCCCCCCCCCCTCTCTCTCTCACCCCCTCTCTTCACCAAGACACACAGCAGTACATCACCCACTCTTTCTGGCTGATTCCTCTCTTTGGGACAGCATTAATAGTTTGATGCTGTGCAATATTATAGGACTGTGTAAACCATGTTTTAAGCTCTATTCTCAAATCTCATGCAATGACCATTGTCCTGTCTCATTTCAATCAATATATTTTGGTCTTGGACTCCTGGTTTAGCAAATACTAGTTGATATGAAGTGAAAAACTAAGTGAATCTTAACTAGAGAGCATCAAGGAGTGAAAGGGACCTATTATCATGAATATGAGTATATGACATGTGAATGAAATATACTATGGATTTTTCTATATAGTACCCCTAAGATATTGACTTTTCCAAGCTGTACCCACCCATTTTTAAAATTCTACGCTGTACCCACCCATTTTCAAAATTCTACGCTGTACCCTAAGGTACTTTTAGTGTCTAAGATGTAACCCTACCCTAATCCCTCCGTTATCTTAAGTTAACTTTCCGTTAACTTCAAAATAAATAATTTAAAAAAAAAAACCACCTCTCTCTCCTCCCTCACAAGTCACAACTACCCACCAGCCACCACTATACCTCCAGCCGCGCCGCCACACTTTCGATAATCCAGCCGCACCGCCGCACGACAGTGACTCGCCCCTCTCTCCTCGACCGCCCACTGCCCGCTGGAATACCAGCCACCCCAATCCCCTCCCGCACCGGAAAACCCACAACCCCACTCTCAACTGCTCCCTGCACTCCACCGCACCAAAACAGACCAGTCGCATGAACCAGCAAACGCCACTCCCTCTCACCTCGGCCCCTAAAATCACAAAACACCAGCAGCCCCTACATTAGCGCAACCACAATCGCACCACCGCAGCTGTCCCGCACCACCGCAATCAAACGACACTAGACCCTAATTTTTCCCCCAATTTGATTTTAATTGTTAAATCATCAATTTTGGTTCAATTAGATCGAGATTAAATACACAAAACTTGTTTTAATTGATTTGGTCGAGATTGTTCGAATTACGCCCAAAATTTTTCGAAAAATGGTCGAAATCTGGAAAGAGAAGGAAGGAGGGAGGAGGATGATGCGGTGGTGGGTCGAGGAGAGAAAGCGAGCCACTATGGTGCGGCGGTGCAACTGGAGGTGCGGCGGTGGTGCGGCTGGAGATGCGGTGGTGGGTACTTGTGATGGAGGATAGAGAGGTGTTTGGGTGTTTTTGGATATATATATATATATATATATATTTTTTTTTTAAATTTATTTATTTTGAAGTTAACTTAAGTTAACGAAAAGTTAAGTTAATGGCGGGATTAGGGTAAGGTTACAACGCAAACACTAAAGGTACCTTAGGGGTATAGCGTAGAATTTTGAAAATGGGTGGGCACAGCTTGGGAAAGTCAATACCTCGGGGCACTATATAGAAAAACCCAATTTACTAAAAGTGTCTAATTACTATTTCATACTTGAAACATAATTTTTGAGTCTGTTTTTGCAATTACTAGCTGGCATGAAGCTAAGAATAGGTGGACCACAACACAACATATGAATGAAGTTACTTACACTATAAGTCCATGTACACTTCTAGCAGTTTAATACCCTCCTCTTGAAGATATAACCATTCTTATGTTTAATCTACCTAATTCCTGCAATATCAACCTTGTATTAAACTCAAGCTTGTGCTCCTTTGACTTCTATCTATGTTTAACATTGCTTATTTGATTGTGTGGGTCATGAAAGTTTCAAGAACGAACTCGAGGTTAGATTTTTGAGGAGGGGAGGAGTTTGGTTATATTGTGGTCTTTGTTGGTTTCGGTCTCTTTTGTAAGGATGACGATATGGGGCTTGTTGATTTTGAGGACGGGGTTGATTATATTGATGTTGGGGTTGGTTTTGGTTTTTTTTTTTTGTACTCCCTCTGCCCACTATTATTTGCAACAAAGGGGGTTTTTGTGGACTCCTAGGCAAAACTTTTATTGGAGTTTAATTAAGTTTGTTCAAGAGTTGAATTGCATGCCCTTCTATTGTAATTCAACTATTGAACAAGCGGCAACGGTTGGGAAAAGAAATGATTAATACTCTCAACCCTATAACCAAGGTTGGAAACAACAAAATACGGGATGGAAACTACGCAACCAAGGCCCTCCACAAAACAACTACAATAGAAACCAAAACCAACCTCAACATCACTACAATCAACCTGAAAATAGTATAGTGCACCCGTGGTGCACCCAGAAAGAACATTAGACATAATTTAAAGAACATGGGTAAAAAAAGAACATACTAGTGTTTGAAAAAGAACATGCTAGTGTTTAAAGAACATGCATACTAGTGTTTGAAAAAGAACATGTTTGTGTTTGACAAAGAACATACCTATATATGTTTGATAATATGTTCGTATATACTTATGTTCTTTAACATGTGTTGATTAAACATGTTTTTTGGGTTTCAATAATGCAAAATATGTTCTTTTAATTTTGGCTCGTATGTTCTTTGAATTTGGCTCCTTTTTTTTTTTTTTTTTTTTTTTTTTTTTTTTTTTTTATAAAGATGGCTTAAGGTAACGAGTTCTTTAATTTATGTTCTTTTAACATATGTTATTTTGAATTTTGAAAATGAAACCTTGTATTATTTTTAGTTGAAAATAATTTTAGAGAGAGAAAAACAAAATTATTATGGAATGTTGAATTTTTGGAGAGAGAGAAAACTATTTTTGGGGAAATGAAATTTTTGGTAAAGCGTTTTCGTTAATGTGTAATTTTTCATGAAATTTTAATAAAAGCTTTTATCATGTTCTTTTTGTAATGTCTTTATGTTCTTTAGTAATACATGTTCTTTGTTAAAAACAAACATGTTCTTTTTCAAACAACTAAATGTTCTTTTTCAAACACCTAATGTTCTTTCCGCCTTTTTCTTAATTAACCGGGTGCACCATGCATGCTGCACAACCCCCTCTTCAAACTCAAAAAGCTCCATATCGCCATCCTAACCAAAGAAATCAGGAGCATGCTGGCTGCCTTTGTAAATGTTGGGGATGGTTTTGGGTGGTATTTCTTAGGAAATGTATTCGGCATGATGGACTGTTGGGTTGGTTTGGTGACATTTCTATTGCTGATAGGTTGTGATGGTTTATAATATATATCTAAATCTCTTGAATATGGCATGTTTGGTAGTAAACTTTCTTAGGTTGTGAGAGGCAATGGGGTATGCTATGATGTGATAATGCAAAGCACCTGTTGGTTTATCATAGAATTTATTAGTCTTCTTTTTGTGGGAGAAAAATACTGTGCACTTTTGTTAGGTATTGCAAACCTTCAGGATAATGGTTGTTCCATGGATCTTTACTTGTATAAGAATCTATAACTAGAATTATCAAATGGGAATTCCTTCAGGCCATCAAGTTACATTGACATTGAATGTGTTTCGTAGAAAACATTTGTAATGACCCTTTCTTTTGCAGGTTATTGCTGCAGCACAAGCTGGAAGGCATAATGATAAAAGGGAAAGCTATGGAGACTCTTTGATTATTGATCCTTGGGGAACAATAGTTGGGCGGCTTCCTGGTAAGCTAATTACCTTGTTCAAATTTCACAGGAGAAAACTATTTCATGAGTCTCTCTCTCAATTTAGCTCCTGATTCTGTCCATCAAGATTTTATAATTATTTTTTCTTTTTTTTTTTTTAAAAAATAAAATAAAATTGTGAGATGTACATAAAATGCTTGATATAATAAAATAAAATATAAAAGTTGATGTGTACACCTTTCTCTTTGTTTCTGGTAAGGTTCCTTCTTGCATATTAGTAAAGCCAAGCATTGGCTAGCAACTTTTCAAAAGCATTTGACTCTTTCAAAGGCTTAAAGACAAACTTCTGAGCTGTTACATGATGTTATTACCTCAAAACAGATGCATTTCCCATTGCCAAAGTCATCAATATGCCAAATACTCCCTCCGTCCCACAATCAGTTGGTTGGTGTGTGTCCCTGATGTAAAGTAGTATAAATAAAAGCTTATCAAAAGTCGTGTTGATATGAATGTGGGGTATCCCAAAATTGTAGACTAACTGACTAAGGCCACTGGATGTAATCCACAACCCAAGTGTGTTTTGGAGATGTGTTAAAATACTTTATTACTTTATACTAAATTAATTTAGCTTAATGAGGGACCACACTACTAAGTTAGTTATTAGAGATGAAAGTGAAAGAATTTGGAGCCTTGATATGGACCTTACCCTTAGTTTGGAACCAATCCTTTTGAGGTGAAAGAAATTAATATCTCAGGATCACTCCGAAGGCGAAAAATAGTTTCACTCTGGGAATCTTGGACAATCATCTTCAAAGGACAAAGTAAACAATCTTTTCTAATACAATTCAGTCTCGTTTACTCACAATGCAATATGTTTCCTTCTCTTTTGCACTGTTTGCTGATTTCAGCTTTTCAAGGTCTTACAGCTAGCTCATGTAGAGGTCATTTCAGGTTTTAAGGTTTCACCATTCTAGAGATTGCATCCTAAGTCCGAGGCTGTCATTTTTCGAGTATCCAATCTATACTCCTCACCCTGGTTTATTATGAATTAGAGCCTGTTCTGATTTACTGAGCTCAACTGAACAGATTGGAACTGAGCTGAGCTGAACTGAATATTTTATGAGAGAAGGAAATTAGGAACTGAACTAAACTGAACTGAACTGAAAATAAATTGAAGAAAACAGGCCCTTTGTTTAGTCAAAGGTACGATCATGGCCATTTGTATGTATCCCATGCTACTTGGGTCATAAAAATAAATTTTAAGCAACAAAAATCTATAACTTCCTAAGTTAATACAAACTATTTACCAATGTTAAGATAAGACCCCAAAAAAGAAATATTGGTATAGTTCTAAAGAAGTAAAAGAAACTATAGCATAGTTTGGGACTTTTGGATGCTATGTTACATGGACTCGGGTACCTGTGTCAAACACAGTTTGAGACTTTTGGATGCTATGTTACATGGACTCGGGTACGTGACGTGTCCGTGTCCGAGTGTCCGATTCGCCAATTTCCAAAATTTTAGGACACGGGGACTCTGTCCTATATTTTGACACATGTGCGGGGACACGACATTTTCATTTTTTGCAAAAAAATTATACATTACAAAATATTTAAATATTTCATTAATATTCAAAAAATTTATACCATATAATGCTACACAAAGTTTTATATGTGGCCCCACAATTTTTTTTTTAATTTTTTTTAAATTTTTTAAAGTTTTCTCTCTCCTCTCCCCTCATTTTCTCTTTCTAACTTTCTCTCTCTAACCATCAATGGCTGGAGCACACACTTCCACCGTCGTCGTCTTTGTCTCTGTGTTGTCGTCTTCGTCTACACCGTCGTCGTCTTCGACGTCGAAGCTCCTCGAAGTTCCAAAGTTCCAAACCAACCCAGATCTCCTCAAAGCTCCAAACATTTTCCCCAAATTTCAATAGATTCAGATACAAATTCTCCAAACATTTTCCCCAAATTTCAATAGATTTAGATACAGTTCATCAATTTCATTCCAATTTCCTATTGATGATCTGTCAACTCCGCCGTCATCTTCGTCTCTGTCGTCTTCGTCTTCGCACGCAAGAATATTAGGTGGGGAATTCATCTAATTATTAGATTCAAGGCATATAAAAGGTGGGGAATTCATCTAATTATTAGATTCAAGGCATATAAAAGGTGGGGAATTCATCTAATTATTTGAAAATGATGATGATTTTGATGGCTCCTCAAATGATTATATATTGCCGAAATTATACTGCAAGCATATTTTGTGAAATATGATTTCTGTACTTTATACAATATAACGAGTAATTTTTTTAATCAGTTTTTTTTTTTTTTTTTGAGGGAGTGTGGAAATTATTTCATAATACTGTATTGAAAGTTGTGAGTATTATTAGACTACTCCGTATTCTTCTGGTAATTTTGGTTGGAATGGATGGTGGTTGATTGTTGTGGTGGTTGGAATTGGTGGTTTCGTGGCCGCTTTAGCGGTGGAATTAATGGTTAGGTTAGGGGTTACTAGATTCGGCTAGGGGCTACTAGATCGGGGTTACTAGATTCGGCCAAGGGTTACCAGATCCGGTTAGGGGTTACTAGGTCGGATAGAGGTTACTTTAGGGGTTACTAGAGGGGTTACTTCAGGGGTTACTTCTAGGGTTACTAGATGGGTTACTTCGAGAGTTACTAGATAGGGGTTACTTCGAGGGTTACTAGAGGTTACTTTAAGGGTTATTTTGGGGGTTACTAGACAGGGGTTACTTCGAGGATTACTAGAGGAATTACTTCGAGGGTTACTAGACAGAGGTTACTTCGGGGGTTACTAGACAGGGGTTACTTCGGGGTGGCACCATGCCACACCGTGTGGTTGGCCACACCAGAAACGCACTAATAATGCTAAAACTATGACAATAACACTAATTACATATTTGGGTTTTTTTTTTTAAAAAAAAAAAAATAAAAATAAAAAATGAAGTACTTAAGTAACTCTGTAACTCACCGCAAGAGAAATAAATAAAGGGGTAAAAAAGTGATGGACACGTCACAACAATAAAAAGGGATTTTAAAAATAAATAAAAAACCAATAAGGGGGGGAATACAACTATGAAGCACTAACTCTTTGACTTTCTGATTTTTTTTTTTTACCGTCTTTCTTCTTCAACCTCCCGCACCCTCAAATTTCTTACTTATCTATAGCTATATTTCTCCTTTACTTGAAAAATTAGGCATTTTTTTTTAAAAAAATCAGCTCTATTTCTCCCCTTCCTCTCTCTCTGAAGTGTCCGAGTGCACACTACCGAATCTGACACGAATTTCGTGTCCCAATCTGCGTGGTGTCGTGTCGACATGGACACTCCGGCATTTCAGCCGAGTCCGGTGAACATAGTTTGGATGTATTGAAATACTAGACTTTTTAATTTACTCAAGTGTTGGATGCTTTTTATGTCTCATTGCCCCTACTATCTCTGTTGTTACAGATAAGTTGTCAACTGGAATAGCTGTAGCAGATATCGATTTTTCGTTTATTGAATCTGTCAGAATGAAGATGCCAATTGATAAGGTGCGTATGACTGACACTCTGAAAGAGATGATGAATCTATGTTTAATGGATGTATTGTTTGAATGTTCATGGTTTTATAGCAAGAAATACATGTAGCGTTTCAATATTAGTATAAGAGTATCAACATATCATGTAGTTACTAATGCAAACTTACTTTTTACAATCTTGTTTCAGCAACGGAAGCCTATTAATTTCTGGAAAGCTTCCTCTATATGATATTTGAGTTTCTGGAAAGCTTTCTCTATATGATATCTGAGTTTCTGAGTAATGTAGATGTAAAGGAGTTGGCGCTTGATTTTGTCTTATGAATCTATGTACCATATATAGTTTTTTTTTTTTTTTTTTTTTTTTTTTTTTTTTTTTTTTTTTTTTTTTTTATCCTAATTATGATGGGACTATGTACCATATAGTTTGGTGACAATTACTATTATGATGTCTAATAATGTAATATATTGTTGATGTATGTACTCTTTGGATTGCATAGAATTTGAAACATGGAATAGAAGAACAAATTCCTTGTATTTTATTTATTTATTTATTTATTTATTTTGCCACCTTTTCTTTGAAATAAGAGGTTATAAATTCCAAAAAAGTGTTTGTCAGCATTTTGAAACACTCCCTTATTCCTAGTGACTTTGTTTAAATAGAACAATTAGTGTCTTTGACATACGACATGTTATGAAATATTGTGTGGATGTCCATTATACTCCTTGTATCATTCCAGAATATTTTAGATAGATCTAGGGTTTATATTCTTATTAAGAAAACCCTAATTATATTGTATATATATATACCCCATTATATGGAATAGAAATAGACTGACCTATTCTCTATCAATCTCTCTTATATTTTCTCCCTATTTTATAACACGTTATCAGCACCATAATATTTATATAATATTACACTATTAGAGTTAACTGCACTATTGTGCAGTGATTCAAATATAATTGGCAAGATTTATCTCAATGTATACACATTATTAATATGACCAAAATGTATCTTCAACGCTATGCAACATGAGTCATAACTAAATACAAATCAAATCATAAATGTGCAAAATGTATAGACAAAAGTTGACATATAACTTTTCAAAGTACCATTATAGAGATCATAGTTATTATTTATTTAATTTTAAAATTTTCCAACTTTTGCTAATTTGTTCTTCTCCCCTAAGTTGGTAAAATATTTCATTTATAGGGGCGTTAGATTCTATACCAACTTAGTAGACAAATTTGCACTAATAAAATTCACTTCATTAGGAGGATCACAATCAAAATTTATTTCTCAGAAGATTTGTATTAAAGAAGTTCCATCATTCTGGAGAAGAATTTCAATGAAGAATCATTTCTTCATTAACTTTACATTGCATGAGTATCTATTATTACCCTTTTCATTATATCTTCTAGAAAAATAATGTCAATGGGGAGACATGTGTTGTGCAGTACGTTTTTCCTTCTTTTCCAATTTCTTATGTGCTGACATATAATAGCCCCAATCAAAAGAATTGTTATACAAGCATAAATCACTTTTTGTAATTCTACTAGTTTGTGATCTTCTGGATCTTTAAAGACTTAAATAGTGTATTTGGTGAGCTTCTAGTCACCTAATAGTTGACAATAATATATAAGTTCTTTTGGTGAACTTCTAGTCACCCATTACTCTTTTTTATATAAGAAATTAAAATTTAATAACTCTTGAAATTTTCATCAATACAAGTTATTATTAATCACCATTCAACTATAGCTCAATCTCAATGTTATGTCTTTCCATTCAATTCATTTCATAATATTTAACATTGAGAGAGCGTCAGCACATTATCAAATGAAACTTCAGGTTTTCATAACGGATAATTATTAAACCCGGATGACCTAATTTAATTATCACATCCAATCACTTCTCTAAATTTTAAGTCTGGTCAGTTTTCCAACACTAGTGATCACTTTATTAATCTTACTTTAGCATGGCCATGGATATGATGTGATATTAGAACACCAACATGTGTATCTTTATATAATTGGCAGGACAATTTGGCAAGACAATCAACTAATACTTTATCAAGTAATTACTCATACTATGCTAGAGTATTGACTATAATCTTGATACATGCATGTTAATCTTGTTGGACATTTCATACTCTTCTAGAGTCTTTCATATAATCATGGAATATATAAATTTTATTAAAAATGATTTTTTCCGAAGGTTATTATATTTTAAATCTATTGGACTACTACGCTTCAGACGTGCTTTAAGTTCATTAGTAACCGATGTCACTACAAAAAAATGTCCATATAGAAACGGAATTCTAGCGACGGAATTTTATCCGTTTCTAAATTAGAGACGGAATCAAAAAATCCGTCTCTAAATTAATTTAGTGACGGAATTTAAAAATCCGTTTCTAATTTAGAAACGGAATTAAAAATTCCGTCGCTAAA